TGCATCTTTGGCACATGCCTCTCAAGATCCAACGCCACCGGATCTTTCTTTGCTTTCCTTTTCGTGGACTTTTGCTTCTTCTCCACCCCCAAAAAATCATTCCATATATACTCCAAGTTCCCAAAACCGTTGAACTTGCTTGCTTCTTCACGCGAAGCTATCATGACAAGACAATTACTATCTTGGACTGAACCAATAATATCCTCCCGCCGTCTCCAGAGAATATTATCACGTTTTGGGGTGGAAGATTGTTTCCTGCTTTCCATTTCTTCATTTCGACTATTATCCATCCATCACTAGCATCTTTTTCACCTTCCTCTGGAAAAGTAAATGAAAGAGAGAGAAGAATGTTACTATTAACTTATTATTGAATCTAAGACATATTCACAGATAGATTTAATAAAGGAAGTTTAAAGTACTTACGGTCTGGAATTCGGTGATAAGTGATTCCCGTGAGTGTCTCACCATTAAGTACAACTCCACCCTTTCCCAAAACGTCGTTCGCAGACACAGCAAAAATCTCCACCGGACCTATGAAGCCTCTGTCGCTAAGAGCTGATGTTATAAGACCTGCATTTCTGAAGGTGGAACTTTGCTTGGAACTTTGCAGTTCTCAATGTCCCACCATACGTTGTTCTTAGCCGTGTAATGCTTGTCCATTCGGAAGAACGAGAAGTGAACAGGTAGCTCCTGCATACACTCCATGTTTTCCAACTTCAATCTCCATATCCACTATCTCTTGGAATTTGGCAAGAGAAGGAAGTCCTGTTTTTAGTTGACCCTGACAATAACAAAACAACAACAGAGAGGAGTCAATATCAAAGCATCAAACAGAGGAGTCAATATCAAAGCATCAAACATCATGAGAGGAACACAAATATCTATAGGTTACATAGAATAATTTTCTTGGATATGGGTGTGAACGTTTTCACCGAGTTGAAGGTAAAACTCTTGAATCATTTCGTTAGTCCTTTTTAACTGCATTTTCTGATTGATTCCTCTGGTGTGAATTTCAGCCTAAGATTGCGGAGATAAATGCNAGTTACAATGGTGATGAAGAACCACCAAACATTNAGAACCCCGAGCTCTGTCTCAAACTGCTCAAGGCCGCCATCGACAAGTTGGAATACACTGGCAAGGTTGGAATCGGAATGGATGTTGCTGCATCCAGTTGCTACTCATCAAACACGACCTACGACGGCTTGAACTTCAATAA